TAAGAATACTTACCACATATGTCAGGTACATGCACAATTATAAACATATCGCTTACCTCATGATGATAAACATATTACAAAAGACTCGGCAATTAAGATCTTATAGAAGCCAAAAATAATAAGTTAATCATTAATTAAGTATATCATATTGGTTGATTGATGTTTTTGACAAAGTGTAGGTAGAATAAACAATAACTCAAGATGTAGCAAACTACTGTTTCATTTACTTCTCTCAAAATTATGATGCAAGAATTTGAGCAAAGAATGATCCAAAGGTGTGGCGCACCACCTATTAAAACAGCGCCACCAAAGAAAACATACTCATACAAATATGCACAAAATAACACGTACATGAAGCATTCCTACGGCCAGCACCAATGTTCTCCCCAAAACAGGTACCAAACGCTTGAATGATAGCAGCAACCCTGCTTCATATTTTTCTGTGGACAAACCATTAGCACAAATAAAGTTATGGAACTTTGTTAGAAAATAGAAATAACATTGATCTATTTACTCTCATGTTATAACTTTTGGGGTTCGAAGAATCTAAAATGCCCAAAATAAGACCACAATCCAATTGAACTCTTCAGATAACAAAAAATAGTAGTTCACTAAAGCAAGCATAACTGGACACTAAACACCTGGCAACATGCTATACACCATTGGAAAGCCCCCATCTTCCGTGTAGATCATTCCCCGAGATTCTGAGCTTAAGACGGCTTAAAACATAACACATCTAATATTGTCCATAAGTTTGACAACACAACTATGTCATTAAACACTCATTATATTTCCTACACCATAAGGGCTATAAAGGTGATCTCTACACCAAAAAGAATGGAACTGCAATTTACTACTGAAATATAAATTTTCTCTGATTTTCCACACATAAAAATGGTCTTAAATGACGCCTAACCAATGACTGCGTGATCTAGAAAAACAACAGGGCCAAATTATGAGATTAGAACCCTAAACCTGCCCACTAATCCAACAAATTCGTTAAACCCTAGCATAGATTCGCATAAAAACACTGGGAAAAGCAAGATCTTACCCCCACAACGATTATATGACACTACTACATAAAAACTTATCCGAGGCGTTTGCATTTTGGGCTTCAAGGCGGTTGGGCTGGTTGCCCGCCTCGGGTTATTCATGGCCGGGTAGCCTGCCCAACAACCGCCTTGGTTAATCCTTAATTGAGGCAGGCAACCTAACGCGCCCGTCTCGGTTAATGGCGATTAACCAATGTAGTTGCCCTAATGCAACCACCTCGGTTAATAGATTAACCAAGGCGGTTGGGTAAAAACAACCGTCTCGGTTAATCTATATTAAATGAGGCATGTGATGTAATAACTTAATGTTTGTTCGTGGAACGATAAGGACCACACATGAATGAATGTACTATATGTTTGTCCTCTATATGCGTATTTTCTGCTTTGTATGTGTTTTAATTTGCAAAATTTAATTTCAAATTCAAATCCAAATTTGAAGAAGTATTTTTTAATCTAGAAAATCATTAACGGAGGCGGGCATCTAATAACAGCCGCCTCCGTTAATTGTTTAACTAAGGCGGGCGGCTTAAGGCACCCACCTCGATTAAAAGTTTAACGGAGGTAGGCTGCTTAGGGTGACCGCCTCGGTCAATAAGTATTTACCGAGATGGTTGTCTTATGCCGACCGCCTCGATTAATCGATTAACCGAGGTGGGCGGCCAACCACCTCCGTTGAGGTCGGATTAACCGTGACCTTTGGGCCCGCCTCGGTTAATCCCTTTTGCCCGCTTCAGTTAACATTACTGTAGTAGTGTGAAGACCTACATCAAAAGACCTTCCGTTTTCCTTCTCCCTCATGGCGATCGCCATCATAGATCTCTTGCCGTCTCAATCTATGCCACATGCAGCATCGTTGTCACAAACGGTGAGCGAAAGCATGGAAATGAGGACAAAATAGAAAGACAAGAACATGCCTAATCTATTTTAAGGGAGGAACAATGGCGGCGAACAATGGTTAATCCTTGTTTTATCTCTTATCAGTCTTCTTTTTTCTCAAGAGAGGGGTATCGGTGGCTCAAGGAGATTTGAGATATTAGGTTTTACTGAGAAGGAATACATGGAAGAGGAGAAAAAGGCACAACCTAGATAGAGGAAACCGACTGAGGCACTAGTCACCCGAGTTCATATTTGCAATTATGCAATTGTAATGGTGAAACTCCATAAAGATGACTCACCTGTTTGGTCAGACCTTCTGATTCTAAAAATCAAAGATATATACGACTTGAGTGGAAGAGCATGAAAAGTGAACAAAGGAGATAGGGTTAGTGTGGACTGATACCTGGATGGGTGATAAACCTTTTTTCCTATCTCACCCCCTTCTGTAATGACAAAGAAATTACATTGAAAGACTTTGTCGAGAGAGGCGGCAAACACTGAATTCAGATGGCGGATACCAGCAGTACTTAGGAATGAGTGGGTGAATTGCATAGCAATATTCTTGCAACCTACTTAAATGAGGAAGAGGATATTATTTCTTTAAAGTGGTCTAAGAATGGACCTTTCACATTATGACCTGTTGTCGTACTAAATACGTCAAAAAACCACCCATTTTCTTGTAGTGTAAGTCAGGATGTACATGTACTCTTATGCCCATATATAGAAGGTGAAAATACCACACAGAATCAAAATATTCATTTGGTTAATGCAAACTGAAGCTGTTCTAACCAAAGACAACATGATAAGGAGGGAATGGCAAGGATCTCCGACTTTCTACTTTTGGGACCAAAATGAATCAATTAACCATTTGTTCTTTTCTGTGTGCTGTTGCTCGGCTAGTTTGATCCATTATTCTAGCCAATTATTGTGGTGCTAGCTAAATTATTCCATGTTATTTGAACCAATACTGGAAATGGGTAGCTAGGATTCTACCTAAGGGTAAAGATGTTTTTACTTTAATTTGGGGCTTGAAGCAATATGCTGGGCTACATGGAAGGCTTGAAACAGAGCCTAGTTCGATAAGAAGTTGATTAAACATCCATGTGCAATTCTTGGCAGTGCATGTTCTTCTATGAAATGTACATTGGGCAGGCCCTCAAAAGGCAGGATTCAAAGGAAGCTATATCATCAAGAATGTATGCATTTTTCTCAAGGTGGCGTTACAGGTGATGAAATTCCGGTCAGCCCATCTGCCCTCCTGTGCAGATTAATAAAATGGAAGAAGGTGCTGGACTGCTTTTGGTTTGGTTAATGTTCGTAGTCTTTTTTCTCATTGGTTTCTAGTGGGAGTTCCCTCTCTGTTTCTGTTTTTGACCGAACTGTATGTTTTGGCCCTAGTTCTCCGGAGACAAGTGTAATTAGAGGCTAGATTGTTTTTGTTTCGGGGTTATTACTGAGCCTTCTCATACCAATTTCTGTAACACCACAGTGGTTATTTGTGTTGCTAATGGAAATGGGTTACCCCGGTTCAAAAAATATTATGTCTTTCTGCTCGACTATAACGGGAATGAATCCTGCAACTGTGCCTGTGCGCGTAACTTAAATGATGCACAAACAACAATAAATTGGTAACTAATTTGGAGGGCTTCAAGTATTAGTGTGTTACCATGCAGGATGCCAAGCAGACAAATGCCCTAATTGAGAAGTAATTGAATTACGATTGCTGCCTGCATCCCGCCAATTTAGAGGTGGTCTTGAAAGGAAAGGAAACTCACCCATGTAGGGAGGAGTGCCGGCAAAGCCACCTCCGCCATGGTTGAGTTCGTCGCGCCGGTGCAGCACTAGTTGTTGTCAAATAGGGATGAATCAGCAGTGCCAAATCCAACCACCAAGCCATTGCCGCCACCACCGCTGTGGCATTATTACTGCCACCGCCGTAGATTGGGATCCCAGCCGCCATCGCCTCAACCTTGCTCTTCAATGCTCTTCCTTGCCGGCACCACGTCCTTGTGCTCTTCCATCACCGCCACGCTGCACTTGCTGGGGAGGAGAGAACTGATGGATTGGAGATGAATATATGGTGGCGGGATGGATTTTGGCACCATCATGCACATGCGCAGCTGGAACCCGCAGTCGCATCTCCTATGGACGACGACTCGTACAATGCTGCTCCGGACGTCACGTTTGCCGGGTACTGGGGAGCATGAGCCGTTGCCGTTGCCGTTGCCTCATGATACACTAATGTCCTCTCTTCCTTCATTGATTGCTGTTCGTGAGGGTTCTTTTTTGCAAAAGTGGCGCTATGTAGACAGTTTCCGCAACGCTTTTTACATACCCTTACAACATTGATAATATATAAAGTGTTGCTACATACCATATACATACTGTCCGCGTTTGGTCATCAACAAAAGAATTCAATTTTAAACTTGAAATTCTTGAACGTATACGAAATATAATAGGAGTTATAACAAGATGTTTTCATGAGGACACTGCACTGGTAAGTGGTAACCAGCTGTGTAGCCTCATGGTACTTGTCTAGCAACACCAAGGTGCCAACGGTGCCAACAGAAAAGATTCTGTAGACAAAAATAAGCACAAAAGGACATAAATTCAGAGCAAGGAAACCCATCACTATAGCCTCCCTCCAACCATATATACACCTCCCCTCATCGCTCCACTGTACCCACCAACCAGTTGATCACTTCTCTTCTTCTCCCTCTCCAGCACATAGTGCAATCGAGCACACGTGCATCTCGAGCAGCAGCAACGTCGGGAAGCATGTCTTCCCGTGATGCCCTGCACATCCCCACGAAGAAGCGCTCTGGGGGAGGACCATTCACGACCATGGTCCCGTGCAACCCAGAGACCAGTGTTTGTCTCCAGGCGGCCCTCGTAGAGCCCGCATCGGCGCACCTTCATGTGGCCGAGCCCATTCGCCGCAGTGCCCATAGCATCACCCTGGCAGTGATGACGACCGACCGATGCTGCAATGGCTGCACTTGCAACACCCCCTACTGCATGGTTACCAGCTCCCCTTGTTGCGTAGACGATTATTCTCTCTTATTATGAAAGCTCTGCGACCGCCGCATGGATGACCGCATCATCTACATGTACATGTAACCCTCGATTTAACTTGCCGCTTGTTCTTTCACATGTACTAGGCATGGCTGGTTTCAATCTTCTTTTCCTTTGGAATGCAGGAGCATGGGGTTCTGCACGGACACTACGTGAAAAACAGTTTGTAGCAATGGGACAAATTTTTTTAGGGGTGGTTGGTGATGGAGCCGCCCCTATAGTGACGTGCTCGGGATCCACGAGACTAGCCGCCCCTACAAATGAAACAGCAGGGGCGGCTGGTGATACGAGCCGCCCCTACAAATGGGTAGGGTTTGTAGGGGCGGCTCACTCACCAGCCGCCCCCGGTGTTTCTATTTGTAGGAGCGGTTGGTGATTGAGCCGTCCCTACAAATGCTCCACGTACAGTAACTAAGTGAACCGTCCAAAATATCTGCTGCTCTCTCTCTCTCTCCGTCTCGACTCCCTCTCTCTCTCCCTCGCTCTCCCTCTCCTCCGAGCCCCTCCGTCTCTCCCCCACGCCGCCCCTCCCTCTCCCCCACGTGGTGATGGGACCTCCCTCTCCAGCGGAGGCGCACGGCGTCGCACCCCCCTCTTCTCCGCGCGGCGGCACTCGGCAGCGCACCCTAGGGTGGCGGGGGTTCTAGGGCGTGGCCTCCCGGCGGTCGTGTGGGGCTCGGTGCCCTCCTCCAGCACCGGCAGTCGCGTGGGGGCCCGTCCCCCTCCTCCTGCGCCGGTGGCGCGCGGGACCCTGTCCCCTCCCCCAGCGGAGGCACGGTGGCGGAGCTCGGTGCCGTGGCTCGGTGGCGCGGCCTCCCGTCGAGCTCCAGCGGTGGCGGGACTTGGTGGCGCGGTCCCCTTCACCTTCTCTCCTCCGGCGCACTGCTGGAGGCCGCATGAAGCACATGGTGGCGGCCACCACCAGATCCGGCGAGGATGAGCTCGATTCGGCGAGGACCAGCCCAAATCCGGCGAGGACGAGCCTAGATCTAGCAAGTGGGTGCGACGGCGAGGATGAGCTCGATGCGGGTCGCGGGGAGGCAATACTACGAGCACCGAGCGCTCTAGTGCCGTGGGATTGCCATAGTCCTCCCCTCGGCGATTGCCAGCTCGGACGGCCAGCGCCAGGCCGCACGCAGCAGCAGCCAGCCCCTTTCGTCCTAACGGCTGCGCGAGGTGAGTCGCTCGAGCTATCCGCATCTCCGCTTCTTCTTCCTTCCTTCGCCCGTGCATCACGGCTTTCTGATTTGGTCTCTCCATGCGCCTCGCCACGCGTGCTTTCTAGGTGCTAAAGGGGTGGGGTTTCGAGGAGCGGCGGTGGGCCTACGCCGGACCTGCGGATGGGATCGGAGGAGAGGCGTCGGACCTGCGGCGGAGCTGCCCCGGCACATCCATGACGATGGTGGCAAGGACGCTCGCTGTAGACCAACACATCCGGCATCTCCAACATCAGCCGCTCTAGAAGCCGCTTCCGTAAGGAAGCATGTCCGGAAGGGGCTCACTTCTGCACAAACGGCATCGCTGAAATTTTGGTATGTATCAGACTCGATCTCCTCCTTATTTTGCAAATAGAGTCACTACAAGTAGATATACAGAGTTCGATGGGAAGACAGAAGGGGAAAATTCCTAGTGGTTAACACACAATTTCAGAGTGTTTTATTCATTTATGTCAGAATGTGTTTGAATATATGAGACTACGATACTAAGCACTAAGAGCAGTGATGTACTGATGTCCTGTCAGATTGTGCCGAAATGCTGACAAGAACCTGTGTGCCATCCATGCCAAGCGGGTCGCCATCATGCCCAGAGATGTTCATCTGGCTACCAGGATCCGTGGTGAGAGGCACTAATCGTATTGCGTCGTTAATGGAGCTACCGACAACCTGCTGGCTGTTGCATACTAGTTTATTTGTGGTCTTATATTTTGTCGATAAGCGTTAGCTTAAGTTTGTGTCAAACATTCTATATGTCGAATAACTAGCCACTTAGTGGGTAGCCTCCGCTAGGTTTTTCTTTTGCCGGTGTAAGACATAAGTTTTACGTAACTGAAGTTATGTCAGTCACATTTTTCTGCTTGTTTTCCTGGCTGTTATTTTTTTTTACGTAACTTCAGCTATATCAGTCTCAAGTTTTTGCTTGCTTTGCGGGCTGTTGAATTTCTTTTGACCAAGTCGTGATACAAGAAGCAATGCATAGGCGAGACCAGCTTTTGGATTCAGCCAAGGTTCTGTGGTTTGCTAATATAGGGTCCTGCGGAGGCCTTGTGCCAGAGAACACCTTTTCAACCCAAGTGCTTTGGAGAGCCTCCCAAATGCTAGTGTTTCAGGACTCAAGGTTCATTTGTTAGTATATACCTTTTAAGAACTTTCTTAGTGAAAACTGAATGAATAGCATCTGCGGAGCTGTTGTACGGTTGTTAGCTGAATTAAGATAACGGTACTCATATTTTGATATATGGTGAGAGTTTTCCCCTTATTTGTTGTAACAACTCCTTCAGATGAATGATTTAGTCCGTCTAACAGTTTTTCAAAAAATTAGTCCGTCTAACCATTGTTATTTTCTTTTATTTTTAAATATTGCCTCTTATGATCTAATTCTACTTGAGCTCAAATTCCTTAATATTTGATGTCAATATCTCCCATGATTTGAATTGCATTTTTTTATGTAACTGAGTCACTGACAAATGAAACACATGAATCTATTAGGTTGGTTTGTAACTTCGTATCAAAACATATACTTTTTTTTTTGCAAAAGAACACACATATTGGGATGAAAATTCCAATATCTTACGATGGAGGATAATCCAAACTATTTTCAGGCGCCTTCTGCAACTGCCTTCTACCAGAAAGCATGCGGCTTGAGTCAACTGAGACAAAGCATCTTGCAGACTGTCGTTTCTTAGGTAGATTCTGGTGTTCTCTATTTCCTGTCATAATTGGTGGTTTCTTATGCTATTTATAACTGACAATATCATGCATATAGATCTCCTTGCTGTCATTTTTCATGTCTATACATTGTACTATTGTCCATTCTGGTGTGTTTATGCCCTATTGTTATCCAGTCTCATGTCATATTGTTGTCTGTGAATTTAGATGGTTCCAACACCACCAGCAACGATAACTTTGATGAAGATGACTTGGAAGATAAACACCTGCTTCCGACGTCTTCTGTTGGTGAATACACAATTGTAAAAGAAGTTCACATATAAATGTCTGATGAAGCCTTACAGTGAGTTCTCTCTGTATTCTAAAACACAATGGGTTTCAACACTCAATGTGTAGCTTGTCATTCATTATGTACATTGTCATTGTATTTTAAAAATTTAATGAGCTCTGCCTGTTCTGATGTAAAATTTTGTGTACATTCAGTGTGTAGTCCACATTCATGATTGAGTTCATTCCACCAGTACCACAGTCCACATGTAATTCGTACTGCCCTGTTTAGTTGTCTGTGATATGGCATTTTTGTTAAAATGTAAGTCAAAAGAGCTGGTGTGTGCCTAAACTTTTGTATAGTCAATGATCCATGCATTGATTTTGGGGAGCATGTGTTGATAATTTGAATTTTTTTTGTGAAAAAATGCACTGTAGGGGCGGTTGGTACTGTAGCCGCCCCTATAAATCGATTTGTAGGGGCGGCTGTTAACACCAGCCGTTCCTATAAATTCGATTTGTAGGGGCGGGTGGTAACACCAGCCGGCCGCCCCTACAAATCGAATTTATAGGGACGGCTGATAACACCAGCCGTCTCTACAAATCGATTTGTAGGGGCGGTCTGGGCACCGCCCCTACAAATGCATGATTTGTAGAGACGGTATGGTAGGGGCGGCTAGCCGAACCGCCCCTACAAATGTCCATTAGCCGCCTCTGGAAATCATATCTAACGTAGTGGGAAGAGTGCAGGAATGAGTATTTTGTAGAGTACAGGTATAGCCTTGCCATGGCCATGGAGGCCGAGAGCAGGTGGACCAGGAGCAAGGCAAGGAAGGTGCCGGTGGCGGAGGGAGAAGCATCTTCTTCATTTGTGCCGAGGTCGAGTCATTCCCTTAGGCTTAGCTTGAAACAACCATATCTCCTTGTCGCATGCTAATAAAGTGCAAGCTCTAGTCAAAATTCTGTGTAAGCTTGCATTGTAAGTTGAGTTTGGTAAGAGTTCATGGGTTTCAATCTGATTAGCTAAAATTTCCTAATCTTTCACTGTTACATCAATATTTGCAACATGTCTATATTAATATAGACCCGTTATTGTAATTATCGTCATCACTCATATAACCTGCTAAATTCAACTAACAATCGACCAAAGTCTGTTGGGCATAAAGACAAACTCAGCTCTCATTGAGCCAACTTTACAGCCAAGCTTTCACATAAAAACAGACTGTCAAAAGGTAACTGACGTTGTTATCTCATGTTTGGAACGTTTCTTTATATGCTTGTCGTCACAACTAACAACGAGCCAAGAAATCAAGTTGTAGCCTAGCTAGCTATGCTTTACACGTCTGATGAGCACAGCACAACTGGCTACCAGCACTAACTGGGTTGTTGACTGGATACAAGGATTTTTTTTTGAAAAAGAATGTCGAATTAATTAAAGATTCCCTATTTGATACGCATCAGGTTGAAACTTGAAAACGGTTCCAGATATTCATTTAGCCTGGGCTAGCTTGAATTTCAGGTATAGGCCCAATCTCAAAATATATAGCACAGCTTAGGGATACAAGCCCAGATCTGGCTTAGGCTTCCATGGCAAACGCCCATCGAGGATATGAAAATGCAATTTGAGAGTTTGACACCGAAATAACACGTCATAATACAATTTCTGACGTTCCAAGTAGTAGGCTTCCTACGTGCCGATCAAGATGCTCCGGCTGATGCTTTAGTTTTGTTGTTTAAGTAATGAATGAACCATTTACGACCCGTACAAGTGAAATGGGGAGATAGAGATTATGTTGCACGTGTAGTGAAGTAACGAAATACCGCCTCTCTGTCCCAAAATAAGTGTTATTCTCATTTCTCGAGAAGTCAAAAATTTTAACTTTGGCTAA